GGGGGGGCAGCGCGGCGGGGCGGGGCGGCGGCACCGAGAGCGCTGCCGGCGGTGCGACCCGCGGTATGGCGCCCCCTGCTGGGAGCCGCCGGTACGGCGCCCCGCTGCTGCCCCGCGCGGTGTGGCGCCCCCTGGCGGCCGCAGCGTGCGGCACGGCGGGGTGTTTTCGGAGCGGCATCGCCGTGCCCGCGTTTGGGTCGCCGGTGGCCGGGACGGGGTGCGCGGATTGGGATGGCTCCTTTGTGTTTGGCTGTGTGGGAAGCCCAGCTGGCCCCACGGTGCCTTTTGGGGTGCCCCAAGGTGCACCGCGTGGCTCCGGGGTGCCTGGGTGTGATGCCCTTATTTTGCGGCACTTAAAGATGTGGTTTGTCGGCATGGTGGGGATGGGCTGGCGGTTGGACTCGGTGATCTTAGAGGTCTTTTTCAATAGGAACAATCTCCAAGCGTTCCCATTGCTCCCTCCCACGCCACCACCTGGCCCTGGCCCCAGCCTCCATGGTTGGCTGCCCAGGGGCTGGCTGCCCCCCGCTGTGTCCCTGAGCAGCACTGAAGCGTTGGGTGAAGCTTTATTGCCGATGCGGTAGCCGCGGGTGTACAGACCACGAGCGAGGCTTTGCACCAGGGCAGGCGCTGCGGCCCCAAACGTATGCCCATGGTTGGTGGAGTGACACTGTGGGTGGCACTACAGGTGACAGTGTTATCCCTTGCTGCTATCCCCCCCCCACAGTTCCATGGATCATTCAGTCCCTGCATGGAGACAAATGCCTGGTAAGAGAGGCCAGGTCTTATGCCCTGCAGGGGTGGGACAGCCCTGGGGACACCCCCAGCTGTGACCCCCTCTCCTGCTCCAGCTCTCCACCATTTCTCCAGATCCCACCCCTACAGCACCCAATGTTCACTCCATCACCCTCCTGGCCACATGGGGACCCCATGGGGACACACGCCACGACCACGTCCCCATGACCCACCTGTCCCCATCTGCTCACCTCAGGCTGGATGGGGCTGGGGGATGCAGCCCCTCAGTGCACCCCTTGCCCCATTGTCACCTCCCTTCTGCCCCTTTCTCCGCATTGGGGTGGGATGTGACAGGGGACACTCCGCCAATCCCTCCCCATCCATCCTCGGTGTCCCCAAGCAGTGCGGGGCACGGTGCTGGCAACAGAAAGAGCTTGAGGGATCACAACTGTACAAACAATAAATACGAGGTCTTTCTCACGCGCCGTGGCCAACAACCACGCCGGCCCTCCTCGGGCCCGGCCCTTCCTCCATCAGTCCCAGAGAGATCGCTGCTCCTCGGCGTCGGTCACTGCAGGGTCCCCAAGGGCTCATCACGGCGAGAGTCACGAGGAAGGCGAGCGTCTCGCTCCCTACTGCAGCAGCTTTGGTAGTTCCACCTGCCAGAGGAAACGTCCTGTTACCGGGCATGGATCGGTGGTGGAGGCTGATGGGGTTTGGGAACCCTAGGTCTGAGCTTCTGGGGGTGCTCAGAGCTCTGGGGTCACCGTCCCTTCCTGGCCAGGCTCTGGTTGTCCCCATGCCTCAGGGCGGTGTGGTCAGGGGCACGAGGTGCCTTGGGAAAGGGAGGCTTTGCGCTATGGATGTCCTGACCCTTGTGCCTAAAAGGGATGGATTCCCCGACTCCATACAGGAGATGGCTCTCCTGACCCCACGTGCCCTCCTGGGGGCTGTGCCAAGGGATGGATCTGCCCGCCCTGCGTGCTCAGCAAAGGGATTTGTGTCTGTCCCTGACCCGTGCTCTGCACTGGGGCCGTGGGCCCCACGCTCCGTCCCCAGCACTGTCTGCTGCACCACCCGAATGACCTCAGCCAGCACAGCAACCCCACGGTGCAGCACAGCAACCCCACGGTGCTGCTCGCAGTTGGCCCCGCCGCAGCCCCACGCTCACCTTCTTGAGCTGTTTGAGGTTGCTGGAGCGGATGGCCGCCAGCAGTTGATCTCGTGAGCTCTTCTCCTGCATGGGCACCCGGTCCCCCATCTTCCTCTGCGTGGCCGGCGAGAGCGAATTCCTCAGATTCTCGTTGATCAGCGGCGGGGCGAGGGGAGGAGGAGGTGGGGGTGGCGCGGCGGGCGCTCCCCCCTTCTTGGGGGAGTTTTTGGGGGACGCTTTTGGGGACGGCTGCGGGGATCCCTTGGGGGACCCCTTCGGGGCTCCGACCTTGGGCACCTCCAGCAGATCCTTCTTCTCGCCGCGCTCCTGCGCCAGCTTCTGCTCCTGGAGGCGCTTCTGCCTCTGCCTGTCCATGTTGCGGCTCAGCAGGTTGGTGACCGTCATGCGGGGCCCGGCCAGCTCGAAGTGGTAGCCCAGCTTGAGCAGCGTGGTGTTCTCCTTCAGCAGCTTGGCGATCTCCATCTCCGTTTTGCCCCCGCAGATGTGCCGCTGGTTGTGGAAGCGCAGCTCCGTCAGCGTGTCGTTCTGCAGCAGCGCCCGGAAAATGGCCAGGATGCCTTTCCCCGTGATGTGGTTGGAATCCAGGTTGATGCTGGTCAGCACCTTGTTGGACTTCAGCATGATGGCGATGGCGAAAGCCACGTGGTCGTCGGCGCGGGTGTTGGCCAACGCAAACAGCTTGACCACGGTGTTGAACTCCAGCGCCTCGGTGAAGCGCACCAAGGTCTCGTTGTTGATGCAGTCCGAGTTGTTCACGTTCACCTCGGTGACCTCGGCGTCGTTGTTCTTCACCTTCTCGATGAGCTCGTCGAAGATGCTGGAGGCCTCGTCCTCCTTGGGCTGCTCCGGGGCGCTGCTGGGGGTGGTTGTGGGGCTGCTCTGTGCTGCTGCCTTGGGCTCCTCCTTCCCCTCCGCTGCCGCCTGCGCCTCGGGCTGTGCTTTTCCCTTCTCATCCGCCTCGGATTTTTTCGAGGCTGAGGTCTTTTCCTCTTCTTTTTTATCTTTGCCTTTCTTCTCTTCACCTTTCTTGTCTTTTTCTGTCTCTTTCTTTGATTCTGAGCTCTTCTCTTCCTCCTTTTTGTCCTTCCCTGTGCCCCTCTTCAATGCCGACTTCTTTTCTTCTTCCTTTTTGTCCTTCTCTGTCTCTTTCTTTGCTGCTGAGCCCTTCTCTTCCTCCTTTTTATCCTTCCCTGCATCCTTCTTCAGCACTGAGCCCTTTTCCTCCTCCTTTTTGTCTTTCCCCACATCCTTCTTTAATGCTGAACCCCTTTCTTCCTTTTTGTCCTTCTCCGCATCCTTCTTTGCTATTGAACCCTTCCCTTCCTCCTTCTTGTCCTTGCCCATCAGCTTGTTTTCCATGGCCTTCACCTTGTCATTGATGGCTTTCCTGTCCTTGGTTTTGCTCTCAGCCTCCCCTTTAGCTTTCGGCTCCATCTTTTGGGCACTTTCTTCCTTCTTAGAGTCTTTCCCCACTCCTGTATCACGTTTCTTGGCCAGGTCTTTGGCAGGAGCTTCTTTTCCCTTTTCTTCTCCGTTCTTGACATCCTTCTTCTCGTCCAGCCTGCTTTCCTAACAACAGAGGATCGTGGAATTGTTAGCAGGTCAGGCTCCCTGAGCTCCAGCCTCACCACCCAGCTCTCAGTCACATCCCAGACATTATGGCCAGCATTGCTTTGGCACAGCCCAGCCTTGGGAAGCCTCCCCACCCCCAGCTGTGTGTTCTCACACCACACTGCAGCTCCAGACTGTGTTTTGCAGAGCAAAACCAAACCCTGCTCCGGGGGAGGGCTTTTTGTGAGCACCCCTCTGCAGGCAGAGACTGCGGGACCCCAGATTCACTTCCCCATGTCCCTGGAATGATGCACAGGACTCACTTCTAGCAACAGCAGTGCAGCTGTGGGACCCCTCCACTCCCACTATGGTCGGTGCTATGAAGGGATGCACCTGGCACAGGACAATGCTCAGTGCTGGGACCGAGCCTGCAGCACAGGGCACAACCTGCAGCAGTGCCTGCAGCTGAGCTTGGCAATTTGGGCTTCCTTCTCCTAACTCCATGCCTGGGGAGCACGTGAGGGTCAGTGCTGTGCTCTGAACCCCCAAATAGCAGCCAGGACCTGACAGCAGCCCCATGCCAGCCCCATGCCAGCCCTCTGGGACTGCTGTTTGGTCACCAGCAGGCCAGCAGCAGGGACAGCGTGTACCTGGAGTGAGCACAGATGCCATCTGGGATGAAGCTGTTTATTTAGCTAAGAGATTTCTTGGCTTCCCAACACGGAACCTGGGCAGGCGGCACAGAGGCACAGAGGCACAGAGCCACGTCCACAGCCCCAGCAGTGGGGATGGATGGGGAGCTGGGGGTGCTGCTGCCTCACACACTGAGCCCAGAGGTGCCTTTTGAAGGCATTTGGGGATGGCCTGGGTTGGAAGTTTGGGGATGCCTGAGGATGAAAGTTCCTTGCACAGCTTCCCAAGCTCTCCAGCTCTTTCTCTTCCACTCCTCAAGCTGCAGCCAGCAGCCCCAGCTCCACACCAAGTGCTCCCAAAAGCCTTCTCCTTTCCAACCCATGTTGTGCAGCTCAGGGCTGGGGGCTCCCCGACTCCCTGGGACAAAGCAGAGTGAAGGTTTGGCCAAGAATGAGCAGATCTTGAAGAAAGGAAGGAAAACTCTGGGAAGAAGGAGCTGCAAAACCTTCCGTACTTAGAGGAGGCAATGGATTTTTCCAAATAAGACAAAACCAGAGTGAAATAATCAGCCCTGCAAGTCGAAGCCATCTCTCTTATCTTGTTATCACATCGTTACTGCTGTTATCATTAAAGCAACTGTGCCCTGATCTGCTGCCACGTGTCCAGTGCAGAGGGAAAGGGGAAGGGGAGGGGGAAGGTGAAATGGAAAGGGAAGGGAATGGGGGTAGGGAAGGGGAAAGGAGGGATGCACGCGGTCCCTGCTCCTCCCTTTGCCTCCTGCAGCGTGGCCTGGGCCATCCCCACAGCCCCTCCACGGCCATCTTCAGCCCATATTTACCTTGGGCACCCAGGGACAGGCGCTCAGCACCCCTCCGTGCCATTCCCTCCGCTGCAAGCACGATTATTAGGGGAATATTTTTACACTGCGTGTCAGACCTTTAAAAATAAGCCTAATAAAAACAGCCTGGTACTGGGCTGATTAATCACCAGTGTTTTGATGAACTGAAATGCCTTCCCGTTTCCTCTAAATAGACTAAAATGAGCATTGCCATTGCTTGTTAGCATTTGCAACCCTCAAACCCACTCAGATGCTTCCTTAAAAGGCAAAGCAGGCCAGGAACTTCTTGCCTGGAATCTGAGTGCTCGCAGCCCAATGAGAGCAGATGGGACCGGGCTGTGCACTGAGCCCTGTGCTGAGCTGCCACGGGGCTGTGGGTGAGCAAAGGGCTGCACCCTGCACCTGGAGCCCCACTGCATGGGTTGGGGTGGAGAACAGCACGGATCTGGGTGTCTGGATTGGGAGGTGGCAGGGATGGGGATTGTGCACAGAATTGGGTGCGTGGTGAGTGGGGGCTCCTGGGGTGGGCAGGGGGTCACAGGGGCTCTCCAAATCCATGCCCAAGTGGAGGGAAGGAGCAACTGGCACGGTGCTGCTGTTGCATCAGTCCCTGGCAGAGGGGAGCAGTAGAAATGCATTAGCAGAATAAATGTTTGGCTTTGGAGGGGGCCAGCTCACAGCAACGAGAAGCTATTTGCGGAGGCATGTCCTGGGAAGAGGCACTCATGGGCAGCATCACAGTGCTGGGCTGCCTGCCTCGCTGTAGCAGCCACGTGCTCAGGTCACCAGCGAACACGGTGTGAGCCATGGGGAGCTGTGCTATGGGGAGCTGTGCCATGGGGAGATGTGCATTGGGGAGATGTGCATTGGGGAGCTGTGCCATGAACATGGGGAGCTGTGCCATGGGGAGATGTGCATTGGGGAGCTGTGCCTTGGGGAGATGTGCCTTGGGGAGCTGTGCCATGGGGAAGCTGTGTCTTGAGGAGCTGTACCCCATCAACAACATGAGAACAGACCAACCGTCAGCACTGCTGGGAAATGAGGATGGGCTCCAAAGGGGGTCCAGGTGCTGTTTGCTATGGGGGGCTCTGAGCAAAGGGGCACGGTCCTGTGAGCAGCTGTGGGGATGTCTGTTCTTGAGGAACACTGGGGGAGCACACGGCTCTCCTGCACAGCAGTGCAACAAGGGACAGCAGGAGCAGCTGAACTCTGTTAACCCAGGAACAAGTTTAGCCATGAGGGTGAACTTCTGCACATAAAGTGGTCCCAGAGCCCAGGGGTCTCCTTGTGACTCTCTCCCTCCCCAGCAACAATGCTGGATGAGCCGTTCCTGCATGCTGGCTTTGGCCAGGACATTTTTTGTCCACACAGAGCTGTGCTCCACACACCAGATCCCTTCAGAGCTGCAGCATAAATCCTGCACCAAGAGATCAGCCCCGTCCCCAAGGGGGTGACAACAACCCCACTGCAGCCAACAGGACAGTTTTGCAGCCCATGAGAACCGTGCAAATCCCGAGTGGCAGAGGGGATTTGGGGGCAGGGAGCAGCACACATCCTGCCTGCATGCAGCCAGAGGCTGTGGGCCTTATCCACACTCCCATCCTGCAGCTCAGCCATGGGAGAAGGGGCGAGGGAGCTGGGCAGAAGGCACGTGGAGCTCCCAGGACACAGGGATGTCCCCTGCTGTCCAATCACAGCTCGTTTTGCCCTTGATGCTCCTGGGTATTTGGGTGCCATTGCCCTTTGGGCATGCAGGAGGGTTGCTCTATCCAAGCTGATCCACTTGAAGTGAGCCACGCTGCTCCCTTCCTCCACTCCCTGGTCAATGTTGAGTAACCAAAGACAAATGCAGCATCCTTGCCTGAGTCCGGAGAGCCACCAAACCTGAGCTGTGAGCTGGGGGTCATCCCCTGTGATTTGTGCCCCCAGCACTGCCCTGCCTGCAGCTGTTTCTGCTCAGACCGTCCCCAGGCACTTCGGGGTTTTTTTGGCATGAAAAAAGAGTGGGAGGACCAAGGGATGCACACAAACCCAGTGTGATCCCCAGTGTGATGCACTGAGCGATGTGAACAGCTTCTTCCCCATCCCACCTCAGCCATCGCTGTCACTTTCATGAGATTCCCATTGTCCCCTTCCCTTCCGGCCCAGCCTTCCTGACCCCAGTGCTGGCCACATCCTCACCCTTCCCAGGCCAATGCTCCTTCTGAGATGCAGTGCTGTCCTCTGGGGACCGGCCGGCTGCTGGCCCTGACTTTTGCCTTGCTTTGCCTTCATTGGTGGAATACAGCAGACAACAAAAGTCTCAATGGCATTTCCCTGAACAGCACAGCCCCATCTCGTCCACAGTGACATGCAGCCATTTCCCACAGAGCCCTCAGAGCTGCTGGGTACTTTGCAAATGGCAAGTTTCATTCTCTGACAAAAAGCTGGTTTTAGTAATCTGGGTTTTCCTCTTCCATGCGTTGCTTCCCTGCACAAACCAAAGGGGATATTCCCAAGCTGGGGCCGCTCTTCTGCTCATCCCCTCTCCAGCTGGGGCTGCAAGGGGCAAGGTGTGCATCTCCAAGCCTTCCTTTGGACGTTTCATTTGCACCAGGCTGAAGGAGGACTGAGGAGAGCGATGAGCAGGAAGGGATGGAGCAGAGCATCGCGCTGTGCTGCTGCCTGTGGACGCCTCCTCCCTGCCAGGACCTGCACATGGAAATCGTTGGTGGCTGCTGGTGGCACCCAGCTGCTGTTCCCACCGTGGTAAAGCCTGGGGTGGGCAGCACGGCTGATTTGTACCAGCTCTGAGCCACAGAGAGCATTGCAGCACACAAACGATGGTGTCACACTGCTAACGAGAGCGAGACGTCGCCGAGACTGGAGCTCTTTTCCTGCTCCCTGTATCTCTTTATCAGCAAAACATAAACAGATAATAAAGCTCCCTGCCTGTGGCAGCTCGGCCCATATAAGCCCAACACTCCAAACATTTCCACGGGTTCGTCTGCATCCCTGTTGTGCTTTATGTAAATACAGAGCCCTCCTGCTCCTGGCGGTGCTGCAGGCTGAGCAGAAGCACAGCACTTCTCCCACTCGTGCCCTTAGATGGGCCGGGTGCCTCCAGGCACACAGTGCTCCTGGCACCAACGTGAGCCTCGGGGAGAGAACCGTCCTGGAAACGATGCTCCTCGTGTGGCTGAGTGAAAGACAGAGCCTGGGGGCAGCAGCGATCCTTGGGAGGGGGATGGGTTGATAAACAGAGCTTAAATCCAGCTGTGTTAGTCACAGAGCAGTAAGATGCTTCAAGAATGATACAACCACTGCTTTTCCCTTGGTTATGATTCCCCTCGAGTCTGTCCTGGCTATATAAATCCACAGCTTGTTTTGTTCCCAGATGGTTCCACGAAAAAAAAAAACCAACCAGATTTGGCCATCAATATGAAACCAAAATGCCAACTCGGTCCCCTGCAGTGTCACAGAAGCATCCCCAGCACGGACCTCACCTGGGTACCACCTTCCACAGGTAGGGCACTGTTTGTTCTCTGCGGTTAAACACCACCAGTGTGCCTCAGCCCACATCTGCACACCCCAGCAACCAGGCAGGGAGGGCAGAGGGGTTTTTGGAAGACCATCCACGGAGCTTGGAAGAGGCATGCTGCAAGGATTCCGGGTGACAGCAGCTCAGTTAATCACACTGCTCAATGCCTCTGCTTCAGAACAACACCATACTCCCAGCCTGGGCTTCTCTTGCTGTGCCTTTGCTTGCTGCAGCAATTAGAGACCTCATTTACCCATTGGTGAGCATTACCAATCTGCCCTTCCCAGAGGCACAGGCAAGGGTGCATCGGAGGAGCAGCACAGCACCAAGCACTGGCTGGCAATAGGAAATGAAGATTAATTAATTAATGCATCGCCCAGCTATGCATTTGGCTGTGCAGTGCAGAGAAGTCAGGGCAAAGCTCACATCTATTTTGGGCTGTTTATAAACTGCCTCCTAGTTACCCAAGTTTGCCCTTTTCATCGCAGAGAAAGACGATGTGTTGTTGTGGAGTCGCAATAATTCTGGCTCTGCCTCCCCCCTCCGTGCTTTTAGGAGGGAATCGGGTGCCTGGAGTGGGTCTGAAACTGAGAAAAGACCACAGGCAGAGCTGGGAGACCAGCAGGACCCAAACTTTTCCCCTTAAAATGCCCTGCTTCCCACTTTGGCAAAGTTCTGCACATCCTAATGCACAGCGAGGGGAGGAAGGGATGGGGTCGGACCCTCGGTGGTCTGCAGCTCCCAGCCAAGGGAAGGCCTTGCAGGCAGAGCTCTGGCAGCCAGGGGCAGTGAGCCAAGGAGGGGAATTGCTCCCCAGCCCACGCTGAGCACCACATATAGAAGTGATGGCTGCGACGTCCTCACGGCCAGGGGAGAGCTGGGAGAGCTGCTTAACCCCTTGTGCAGGGCTCCAAAAGAAACCTGCCCTGCTCATCTCTCCCTCTTTGCATCTCGGGCCCCTGGTCAGGACGGGGGCTCTGTGGCAGAACAGAACGGCACAACATCCTGAGCTGGAGGGGAACACAGGGATGATGGGGTGCACACACACACTGCAGCATGCCACTGCTTCCCTGTCAGCTCCTCGTATCCCAGCACAAGTTGTGGCTCAAGGATGAAAGGTCCATTTGGTTTACTAGGCAACGTGTGAGCTCCTTACAAGGGACTTCCCACTGGTAGATTTAGACTGACATCAGGGTCATACGCATCAATATATGCCATAATGTTTCATTCCCCAGCCTGCTTCATAGGACCAGTTTCCAGCACATTAACGTTGCTGTCCCAATGCAGTCCATACACCAGTGAGCGCCGCCCTAGCGAAGGGGAGATCCTTCTCAGCATGAAATAAACCATCCCAACCTGTCCCAGGAAACCACAGCTCTGAGATGTGAAGGGCTCCATGCAAACGAAGGAGTATTTGTTACACCTTTGTGTTCTCTCCGTGAGGTTGAGAAATGGCTGAGAGCGAAACCCATCTTCTGCTACTTTCTGTACAGATTCCTGCTCTCAGCCACAAAATCTCATGCTGGTTATCACGCTGCCTATCAGAACGATTTGATAACAGCATTTCCTGGATGTGATCTTTCAACAGAACGTTACATGAGAAACAGAGCACCAAAAGCCACTCCCAGGTGGAGCTGAGCTTCTCCCTTCGCCTTCCTGCCCAAGCGCCATTGGAAGCAGAGCAGCTTGGAGCTGTGCACAGCTCTGCCCAAGCACACATCCTGCCCCTGCTCTGCACGATCACTGCCTCAGTTCCCTTGTCCAGCATTCTGCTCAGCCTGCCGTGGAAAGAGAGGGAAACCAAATGCTTCCCAGCCTCCCACGCACTGAGCACATACCAAATATTCTTAGTGCAGAGGTTCATAAATGTTGCAGGGAAGCAGGACTGGCTGCCACCAAGGCAAGGCACAGATGCACGGGATGAGGACTGGCACGACATTTCCTCACCCCAGTGAAGACCTTACAGGATTTATCCGACACAGAGAAGGAGATAAATGAACCCACACCAAAATAAGAGAATGAGTTTTAGCTGGATGAGAAACAGGAAGGAAATGGCTTACGGCAAAATCTGCTTTTGGGGGCGATCCCCACCTTCTCCCTTCTGTTATTCCACAAGGAACAGAGATTGCTGAAGCCCCCAGCCCTGTCCAGAGGCAAGGAGAAGCTCCCTGACAGCAGCTTTGGCTTTCGGGTAGCTCACAGAAGCCCCTCTTGGCTTCCAGCTCCCTGCCCCAACCCCCAGACGGCCCCACTGCTCCTCAACAAGTCCCTTCAAACAGCTCTTCCACACAGCCGTGCCCAAAGAGCAGCACAGCGTGTGGAGATGGGACTTACATCCACCGCCTGCTCCCTTTGGAGACGTTTCCTGGGCTCCTTCTCGTGGTGGTTGAGCACGGCGTCGCGGTTCTGCGTGCTGGACGGAGGGTTGTCTGCTTGGTTCTTCTGACTCTGCTCCATAGAGATGCTTCCATCGGAATCCACCACATCCAACTCCTTCTCCAGCTCCTCCATCTCCTCCGGACTCAGCGTGGACAGCAGGCTGTCGATGTCCGGATCCTCGCTCACCTGTCGCCGATATTTGGCGACTTTGGACATCTTGGCCCGTTGGCGAGACACGGTTGCGGTTGTTGTGGTACCCAAAGCAGGAGAAAAAAACCAGAGCCGAGGCTCTCAAACTGCTTCCCACAGCGGCAGCAGGTGCTGAAGTGTTAAATCTCAGCTCCGCAGCCCGGGGTACGGTGCTGATGGAGAGGGGACATCCCTCGGCACAAGGGTTGGCCAATGGAACCCAGCGGAGGCGGGGAATGGTGCTGTCGGGGGAGCCTGAAACCCGAGGACATTCCAGGGAACCATGCAGAGCTGCATGACCAAATTTAGTCCGGAGCATTTAGCCTTTTAAAGGCAATGGGCCAACGGAGTGAGAAAAACAGGCAAAAATGCACGCAAGCTGGCAGGCTGGGGAGCTGGGGGTCGAGGGCACGTCCCGGCCCGAGGGTAACAGGGTCAGCCTTGTCCCTAAGCCCCCCACTTACAGGAGGGCAGATTTTCAGCTGTTGTGCTCCTGACAGCTCCCGGCTGAAATCAGCAGCAGCGTGCCCACCCAGCCCTGGGCTCCTTCCATCCTTATCCCGCTGCTCCCCAGCATCTGTGGGCTCAGCCCGTCAGGGAGGGGCTGGCGGAGGTGCTGATGCAGACTGCTTTCTGCACAGAGGATGTGCAAAGCCTGGGAGGCACCAGCACTGCACGCCCACCCAGCTCAGCTCCGTGGGTCCGAGCCCGGCAGCGGCCCTGGGGTGCTTGGTCAGTGCTTCTGTACGTTCCCCATCCTCTGCAGGGGTTTCTGCAGCTGCTCTTCATCACAGCTCTCCCATTCCCCCTCACCCAACCCCACAGACATCCCTCCTTCTGCACAGGCTGAATTCCAGACTGTCTTCTGTTTCTGGTTCAGGCAGTGCCTTAAGCCCAGGCTTTGCTTGGAGGCACCTACTTTCCATCGCCCTAATCCATACAGAAGCTTCCTGGCATCTGCAAGTTCTCCCAGGGGGACGTGGCAGATGTGCTCTTTCTCTCCATGTTTCAAAGCAGCTTTACCCCACGCACAACATTTTGTACCCATTCCATACGCTGCCGTCTTCACCCTTTCTCTTCATTCCTTATCAACCTCCTGGTATTTACTGCCTGCTCTCAGATCTCTCTCCTAGCCCATGCAAGCAGCCATCTGGTCTCCTCCACCAGCATGAGCTCTCCTAAGATTTTCCTCACCAGCCCAACTACCCTCCCTGCTGTCTGATGGCTCAGATCTCAGCCCTGCACAGACATGGGGTGCTCCAGGTGGGCCTCCCGGCGCCTGGTGCTGCAGCCCAGACGTTCCCCATCTGCATGGGAGATGCAGGCTGCTTGCATTCTAAGATTTCTCTTATCTGGGCTCCTGCTCATAGCCTTCCTATGATTCACACACACAACTGAGTTTTTTTCCAGATTGGGGAAGAAACTGCTGTTTCTAGTTTCCAAGTGCACAGCCTTAAACGTGCTGCTGCGTTTCATCCCATCACTCCTATCTCCCTGCTGCCCTGTGCTCCCCATCTACACCGACCACAGCGATGCCAGGGAACGCTGCATGCTCAGGAAATGCTGCCAGCAGTGCTCAGACCTGTGCTAAGTGAAAACGTAAAGCTCTCCAGCCAGACCGAGCAGGGGGAACCCCAGTGCTGTCTCCTGCTGCTTTCTCCCTCTGCCTTCCTGCTGCTGAGCATGGGGTGGGTATCAGAGGGCTCTGCAGCCTCTGCTCTTATCGGGATTCCCATTCCCATAGCAACTGATCACCTCGCAGGCACTAACAACTATTTTCTCCAAAACACAGCAGTGTTGCCAGCCACGTCTCAGGGATGAGGATCCAACACGGAGTGAAGTGCCTTCTCCTGGCACACCTGAGGGGCTCTGGCAGATTGCCCCAAGCCCATTCCCAGCTGCATTTCTGCCTTCTCTCCTATCAGCCGGTAGAGCACAGCTGAGAAATGGATGGATTCCTCCAGGCTGTTTTATCCACCCCTTCCTTCAGAGCCTGGACGAGGGAAGGTTGAGCCCCGACCTTTGCGTTTCACAGCACGGCCCTGCAAAGCAAGCAGCATCTCCATGCTGCAGCTCATCCCAGCCTTAAAAGTAGGAGCTGTTGAACCCTCAAACCCCACCGCAGCCCCACACCAAACCTCCCCTTGAGAAACATCTGCTCCCTCCCTGCAGCCCGCTCCATCTCACTGCTGTCCCCACCCCCAGCAGATAGGACGAGGCTGGGCAGACCGGAGAGCAGGGCAGAGGAACCCGATAAGGTTCAACGAGGGCGACTGCGGGTCCTACAGCTGTATGCATCAGCACAGGTTGGGGGCTGAGCTCTGCAGAAAAGGACCTGGGGGTCCTGGCAGACCAACGGCAGACCAACGGCTGACCAAAGCCAGGTTCCTGTGCAGCCTGTGGTAGGCTTGGGGTGGGGAGGTGAGCTGGGGGAGCTCCGGAGATCCCCTCGAATCCTCACGGCTCTGAGATTTCCCCATCCTTCCCTCTCCCAGAGCCACACCACCACCTCCTGGCGACGCCCACCATTGCAGCACCGCTTCCACGAGGACAAACGTGGCAGCACCGCGCGGGGAGCTGCGTTTGCAAGGACTGCAGAACGTTAGCCCGTCCCATTGCTCCAGCCCATGCTTTATTAGCGCAATTAAGGACCTCGCTGCTACGTGGGGCACAATCCACTGGGCCTGCCTGAGGAGACAGCGATGCACAGCTGGATGATAATGCACAGCTGGGGGATGCACAGCTGGATGATGATGCACAGCTGGGGGATGCAGACATGGGTGATAATGCACAGCTGGGTGATGATGCACAGCTGGGTGATGCGAACATGGGTGATGATGCACAGCTGGGTGGTGATGCACAGCTGTCAGCCCTCTTTCCCGCAGCCCGACGTCCTCAGCCGACCCTCAGATCACAGCCCGGTGCAGCCGCCCTCCCTGAGTGCCCACGTTGGGTCGCACCGGGACACGCTGTCGAAGCGCGGCCACGCACCGGCCCCGCGCCGGGCATTAGGACCGCCCGCTGCCCTCCGCCTTCCGGGGGCGTGGCCAAAAGGGCACGGCGCATGCGTCGCTCCGACATCCGCCGTCCCGTCCTCTCCTCCGATTGGTCGGCGCGGGGAAGGGGGGGGGCGAGGGGCCAATCGCGGGGCGGCAGGGCGGGCGCGGCCGGACGCGCGTGCGAAGATGGAGGAATACGCGCGCGAGCCGTGGTGAGCGGCCGTTGGGTTTTGGCGGGCTGCGGCGTGCGCGCGCGGGCGGAGCGGGAATCTCCTGAGGGAGAACGGCGGCGGCGGCGGCTCCGGCTCCGGGAGCGGGGAGGCGGAGGGGGCGGGAGGTGACCTTGGCGACGCCGCTGTCATGGCCGCCGCTTCCGGGCTGCGTCACTGCGGCACGCAGCGGCCGTTCCCTGGCCGCGCTGTGGGGCTGCGGGCCGCCGCCAGGCCTCCGCTTCCCGCCTCTTCTCCTCACAGCGCCTTTCCCGCTCTGTGGGACCTCCTGAAAAGCGGTTAAGGCGAAGCGCTGTGGGCGCTCTGTGTCAGCCCTCTGAGCGCAGGGCTGTGCTGCTCTTTTCCTCCTTTAAAAGCCGCGTATCGAAGCCGGTTTGGTGTTTAAAAGCTGCTCCTGTGGAGGCTTGGCGGCGTTAAGGGGAAAATCTGAGGGTTTCGTTCATCTTCCGTCAAAATCTGACAGTAGAAGCCTGGGATCTCCCAGGTCCTGCCTGCTTTAAGGATTCTGCCATCCCGGGGCTGTGCTGTATTGATGTTGTGAGGAAAGGAAGAGCTTCACGTCGTCTGCTTGGATTTCCAGCAGGCTTTTTAATGAGACGGCTCTCAAATGAAGGCAGGGAGCCGTGAGGAGGTGTTTTATTCTTAACAGCAGATCAGAATCTGGGCAGGAGAGAGAAAAACACGGCGAGGAGTGAAGTGGAAGCTGCACATCTCAGCTCTGACTGCACGCAGGGAGCAGGGATGGAGGGGTGGAAATAAAACATGGGGCAGCACCGTGTGATTCCATCAAAACAAGGGGGGTTTTGTTAGGAATGTGAGATGGAAGCTGGTGGCAGGCTGTAAAATGAAGGATGATGCGTTATGGGACGGCATCCCAGCCTCCCACTGCTGTCTGTGGGGCTGAGAACTTTGGAGTTTTTTTTTTTTCAGGTTAAAAACTGCAAAATGTGCTGTGAGCATTCAGGGAAAAAGGAGCAGGAGCATCACATGGGGAGTGCTTGAGGTTGACCAAAAAGAAAGAGGTCAGAAAGGCACGCTGATGGCAGAACCTGTGAGCCCTGGGCTTGCCATGGCATTCAGCTCTGTGTTTTGCTGGGGTTGCTGCTCTCTGCCTGTGCTCTCTGCCACCTGAGTGCTTGGCTTTTACTGTCAGGTTTTGATGTGAGATGAAAGAAACACAACAGCTTGGTTTGTGCAAACGCCGCAGAATTCCCAGCAATGGGAGCACGGCTAATTGCAGGCTGCTGCTCGCAGGGAGCAGGAAAATCACAAAGCTCTCCTGCTTGGCAGCAGTGTTGAAGGGGATGTGAGCCCCACATGAAAGCTCGTCTCTGCAGTTGAAAGTGTTTGCTGAGAGGAAGGTGCTGCTTGTTTGGGAGCATTTGACGCTCCATGAGGTTGCCCTTTGGCAGCTCTGCATGGGTGTTGCTGTGTTTTGTTTTAATGAACTTCAAAGACCCTTGGATAAATCAGAAAAACCTTCTCAGTTTAACAACAGATGACTTTGAAGTCTCCCATTTCAATTACCAGAACTAAGGAAAAGTGTGAGGAACTCAGGAAAGCGGTGTTTTGTGCTAGCTGTGAACTGAGTCTTGTTTGAATTTGCCAATCAAGTTCTCTGTAGGTCATGAGAAGAGTAAAATTAAAGTTATGATACATAATTAGGGCAGAACTGGTTGTGAGCTGGAATTTTGCAGAGGTTTTCCGTGATGGAAATACATCTCTGTGCCACGTGTGGGGAGTTCAAGCAGCTCTGTGCATTCGATGCTTCCTGCTGCAGGTGGACAGGCTGGCAGCCTTTGCTGAACGCCCAGCTGGTTTTGCTGCAGCATTTCCCCTGTTGTGATGCAGCTGTGGGTGAGGCAGTGTGGTGGGCAGGTGTGCTTCCTTGCATTTCTTTTGGGTTCTGTGCCATCTGGATGGTGGATTTCCACCAGCAGTGCGTGATGGAACGCAGCATTTCCATCTTTGTGTTTCTTTGCAGTCCCTGGAGGATTGTAGATGACTGCGGAGGTGCCTTCACCATGGGAGCGATAGGAGGTGGCATTTTCCAGGCCATCAAGGGCTTCAGGAATTCCCCAGTGGTAAGTAAAACCATTTGAGCAGCACATTAAGAGTGCAGCTCTGCTTTCTCTGTCCGTCAGCAGTGCAACTTGCCAGCAGAAGGGAAGGCAGAAGAAATCCTGATACACAGGACTGTGTGATGTTAACCTGGTCCCTCAGAGCTGCTCCCTCAGCCGAGTTCCTGCCTTTGCTTCTGGCTGCTGCACGCCAGAAGTGGAGCCTGGGCAGTTCTCCATCATCTGCCTTCCTTTGAGAAGTGAGAAGGCTTAAAGGAGGAATCTTTCTCCCTCAGAATTACATGAGGGAATATTGCTTTCTGTAATTAACCTCTTAATTAAATACTAACGTTTCTCATAACTCAATTTATTTGAAAGCGGGTTTTCGTTTAAATGCACAAATGGAACATGGAGGTTAAAGTTTAGGTAATGAAAATCAGTTGTTTTCACTTTCAAGTTTTCAGCTGCAAGATCTTGACTTCAGACGTGGTGCAGATTTTGATAAAAGTAATCCCCTGTTTCTACTTGAACGTTGGCTCTAAAACATTCCTCTGGCTGTTATAGAAAGGGCTTAAAAGGGATGAAAGGGTTTTTTGTTGGGAATGCTTTTTGGTGTTCGTATGTGACAGCTTCATTGCCTGAAGTTCCTTAATAAGCCATCAGTTCGAGGTACTTTTTGTGAATAAAATTCATAACTTTTTCCAAAACGAGTCAGGTCCTGCAGACACTTCACACGCACAGGATTGTGTGCTTTACCACGTTCTTTATTTTGCTTGAAACTCGTTAAGTAAATCTGTCCACGCTTCCAAGTGCTTGCAGCTAAAACAAAGCTTGAGTGTATGTGGGAATAATGCAGTGTTAAAGCGTGCAGTTCTCATTCAGTTCAATTCCCAGCACACCCACAAAAAATGGTTTAAGGTAATGTCTGATGGTAGCACTTCATTTCTGCAGCACACAGGTATTACACAGGTGTGATAAGAACTAAAGGAGCTGTAAAAATGCAGTTTTTGTAAGTTCCTCATCGTGGTGCTTAGAAATAGATGGTGCCCATGACGTGTTCTGGCAGAAAGACTTCATTCTTTCATTCTGTCCTTACTGTAGGGTGTAAACCACCGACTGAGAGGAAGTCTGGCTGCTGTTAAAACGAGAGCTCCACAGCTGGGAGGTAACTGATTTCTCACTCACGTTGCCATTGTCTTTAATCATCATTTGGTAATGTTGTTGGTGATGTGGCTGCAGTATGGCTGGATCATCTGCTTTCTCTGAGCTGGTTCTGTTCTCTCCCCCGACGTGCTCACAGGTAGCTTTGCTGTTTGGGGAGGTCTGTTCTCCATGATTGACTGCAGCATGGTCAGAATGAGGGGGAAAGAAGATCCGTGGAATTCAATCACGAGCGGAGCCCTAACTGGAGCCATCTTAGCTGCCAGAAGTAAGAAATGGAGCTCTGGGGAGGGGGCTAGTTGAGAAAGCTGCTGTATTCTAACGTCCATTACAGTGAAGCAGAACTCTGTGATTCCCAAACTGGAATTTACTTGGGAAGAGGAGCAGAAAAATAATCTTAGACTTGTGTTCTGTGCTAATGAAAGTAATAATTGTGTTCTCAAACATTACCGTTGTTCTTTTGTTTCCCTGAGGAAGGGGGAGAGTTGCCTAGTAATTATTCCTTTAGTAGTGATACTAATGAGGCTTAATGAATGCAGTGTTTGCTCATAGGAGAGATTATAACTATAGAAGGAGAGCTGTAACGTGCAAAGTAATGCAACAGAAAAAGAAACGAGTGTTGTTTTGTGCTTTTATTTTTAGATGGACCTGTTGCCATGGTTGGATCTGCCGCAATGGGAGGAATTCTCCTGGCTTTAATTGAAGGAGCTGGCATTCTCTTAACAAGATTTGCCTCTGCACAGTTTCAGAACGGTAAGGAGCCCTCCCTGCAGCAGCACAAGGCTTTTGTTGTGCAGTGTTGGCTGATGTGCCCAGCTTCCAAGTCTGTAAGAAGTCAAAGAATTGCTGCACATTGCTAATGCCACAACAGCTTTTACATTTTCTCTCTGTGGTATGACAGGTCTAGAGACATCCACACCTAAATGAAGTGGCAGGATTGGCTGTCACTCAGCAGCCTGAAGGTATAGGAATTGGGGAGGGGGTGGGGAGGGTTCCAGGCACAGGGGAGCACAGGGCTTGAGAGGGTGGAAGAGAGGTTTGTCTGAGCAGAATGTGCAGACGTGGGTGGTGTTATCAGAACAGGGCTGGAAGCTGGGAGCAGGGCTGGAAGCTGGGAGCAGGGCTGGGAGCAGGGCTGCCAGACTGAGGAGCTGCTTTCTGCCCTTCACACTGTGTTGGCAGTGTTCAGTCTGTGCTGTGTGGTGCTGCAGCATGAGGGAGCAGTGGGTGGTGCAGGTGGATGGCTGTGCTCTGTGTGCAGCTGATTCCAATGAGATGGTGAAGATCAGGCAGATACAGGCAGGATATTCCAAACAGAGGTAGTGGTGATGACTGGATTTCCAGAAACTGGATCCGTTTTGTTTTCTAAGTGCAACACAAGCTGAGATGTCAGTGAGTCTGTAACCATTTATGTAAATACATGCCTGCTGGAAATAATTAATGCCTCTGTTGGCCCACCTCATTTTGAGAGGAATACAGACAAAACCACTAGTGTTGAAAGGATTAGTGGCAAGCCACTAATTCCTGGTAGGATTCCTCTCTCAGGTTTGTTCACTGACGTTCTTTGTTCTGTCTAAATTGGTACAATTTCTGTAACAATTCGGGAATACAAAAGCTTTTTAAAATGAACCTGCTTTAGTGAAAGGGTATCATCTGTCTGTCACAGTTTATTCTCCTTCAGCTTGGCACGTAATAAGCATATTGCTTCCCTCAGCAGAATGTCAGTAAGGGGAGTCGGGAAGCTGATCCGCAACTTGTTCCATTTCACTGCCTTGCTTTATTGTGGGGCAAGTTACCGTGGAGAAACCTTTACAGAGTGGCTGGGTTCAGCTGCAGGGCAGGAAGGCAGAGGTTTCCAGTGCCTTTCAGTGACTGAAAATGTTTCTCTCCCATTGTCCTGATTTGTTTTCTTAGAAGTAAAAGAGATTAAAAAAAAAATTGTTCCTTATTGGAACAGGTGTAAAGCCCTTGAACGTCTTGGAATGAAAAAACGCGAAGCCTTGTTGTTGGCTCCATTAATTTCAGAAGGGATTTAGTTTAAAGAAAAACACTGCGGGTGTTTCCTGCTGTCATAGGAAGAATGCCTTGTCTTTTCATGTCTTTGACTTTTTCCCTTTTTCCTTACCCACAGGCCCTCAGTTCTCAGATGACCCCTCCCAGCTGCAGCCCTCTCCGTTTGGCGACTACAGACAATACCAGTGATCATCCCCATTCTGTTAGTTCGTATTGTAGCTGAGCTGTAATTTAAAATGCTGGAGGATCAGAGCACGGTATGTCCTTACACCAGTGGTAGTCTCTTACACAAACCATGCCAAGAGGACTTCAGCACTTGGCAGTGTAAAGCTGCACAGAACTTTTAGAAGATGACAGATCTATTTATTGGCAACAGATTCCATTGCTGTAACGTTAATACATGTCTGATAGAATACATGGAGATTTAAGATAAGGACCAAACGGAGTCTTGTAATCCTTTGGCCACGAGCTGAAGTGAATGTCTGTGAAGTCTTCTCTGGGATGTGGCATTAACCATTCCACATCTGGAATTTACTCTCCTCCCTTTTGGATTTAGGTTGCTACGCACACTTTGGATTTATGTTGTTACACAAATTTCAGCTTAAGGGAAAGTGTTAATCTACGTGCAGGTTTACATTCCAGAAGTGACTGTTACTAGAATGTACAAACCAGTGAAAGCAGAGGGCTCTGTGTGGTTGCAGGATGAAGTGCATTGCACCTGCATGTGTGCTTTCAGCACAGTCTGTTGGCTTTTTGCTGTGGATTGAGTCCTCTGAAGGTAGCACGGTTCCGTTGGCTCTGTATTTTTGTTCTTAAACTCCAGTTCTGAAGGCATTGTTCCCTCTCACCAGCAGTTAAAAAAAAAATTCATATCCAGTGGCGTTTTCTGTTGTAGGTCCTTCCTAATAAGTGTGCTGTATCAGGAAGTGCCAGCAGGCAATAGCATTCAAAGGCTTGTAGGATTATCCAGGACAGCTCAGAGCTTTGCTTCTGCCCAGAAAGGATCTCTGTGCTCTGAGGTAACTGTCAGACTCATTCAGTAGGAGAGCATGAAAGTAACGCAGAAATGCTCAAATGGGTGAATTAAGATTGTACAGCGTGTGCATGCAAGTGCAAGATCCTGAACATAAGGCTCCTACATCCTATAGAAGTGACATTTTCCTCACCTGTTTCCACCACCCTGCCTGTCCCAGAGCCACTCCAGGACTGCTTGCTGCTCTGGTGCCTTGCTGGTCAGTGTTGTTACTGTTGGTATGTCATTTTCAAGAATCTTTAGCACAACAGCCTTGTGTTTGTGAAGGCTTGTCTCGCTTTGCCTCTTACCTGCTTGCTCAGGTGAATTGTAAAGGATTGTCTCGATTTGTTACTCAGAGTGCTTGCTTCTGTTCCTAACTGAGAGCCCAGCCACAGAGGAGTGAGCAAATCCCTGGCAGGTGAGGGGAAACTGCAGCCGGATCCCTCATCAGTGCTGCACCTCCCCTGAGTATCCAAATCTGCATGTTAATCACCAGATGTTTTTCTGTGCTCTTTACATAGGATTAGCACGCTGGGTGGTGTTCAGTGCTGTGTGCCTACCCTGGGATGGGGCTCTGCAGCTCATCCTTGTCGTGTCCCAGCACCGCCCTCCAGGCTGTGGGGCCAGGAGGTGACTTTGTTGGGGCTGGGGCTGTGCTGCCCAGGAGCTGAGCTGGGTGCAGGAGCCCCCAGCACCCCCAGCCTTTCCTGGTGCAGTCAGGGGCTGGGCACATAGCATCTGCTGCTCAGGGACTGTGTTTAAGCAGCACCCTGAACATCTTGGGTGAGCTCTCCCAGCAATGTTTGGCTGGGAGCAGACTTTGACAGGGTTGGGGCAGGCAGGGGGGTGTGCAGGATCTGCTGCTCCCGGCTTTGAGACTCCATCTAAGCACTGCATTTGGCAGTGCCCAAAGCCAGGCAACATCCAAACAGCCCCAAGAAGGGCCACCTCTACCCCCTCCTCCCTCACCCTGCTGTGAGGTTGCAGGCTTCAGCTGCTCAGGAAGAGCTTTATTCAGCTCAGCCCTTCCCCTCTAATCCCCCGTGACCGTCTGTGCCACACGGTCACTCACACACCTCTCTCTGCACAAGGGCAAACCCCTGATGTGAGGTGCTGCCCTTTGCTCCCCACATGTTACAGTGCTCCCCAGGTTACAGTGTCTGCTGGGAGCCCTGCAGGGCGAGCTGACAGCTCTCTTCCCCCTTGCTGTTCTGAGGAGAAAAAGGCAGCAGGTCCCCCTGCCCTGCAGTGCACCATGGCTCCAGGGAAGGGTTTCCTGCCCTGTCATCTCTGCAGCACCCACAAGCTTCCTGTTTTGGTGCTGTCCTGACTCATTTTGGATAACAACTTACAGGCAGCTCACAGCTGCCCCTCACACTCCTCAAGGCGCTCTCCCCAGAAGCAGCTTCTCCATCATCACCCCAAAAAACGAGACTGACACCACCAGCACGACACTGAACTATTGACCTCTTTATTTCAATCAGCTACAGCAGCTCTACATTCCCCTAAAACACTGTCCTTCCTTCACTACCACAGACAGCGAGGGAGCCGAGTACACTGCGGTGGCAGCAAGTCTTCTTAAAGCTTAGTATTAAATATTAAATATTCTCTCATTTATGTTTACATTACTTTGTCAAGAAAAAAAAAAAAAAGACAATTAAAACTTAAGTTATGTGAATCTGTGCCTGTGCCCTGGGCGGCAGCACCGGGGGCCACAGAGCTGCCCCCAGGACGGCAACTCTGCTGGGAGGGGGACTCAAAACCTCCAGCCCTGGGCCTGGTGCCACGTGAGTGCTTGGGAAGGGAGTGTTCAGCAGTGCTGGGAGCGGAGCACCGCCCCCTGTGCTGTCGGAAACGGACATGCCTGGACGGGTCAGAAGACCGTGGTGCAGTCAGAACTCTGTTTGGAGGAGGTGAGACCTCAACAGGGCCGGCCTCACCTTCCCTCAGCCCCACAAAGTGCGTGGGGAAGGGGGGGAAGGATTTGGTCGACAGAACTTTGTTAAAGAATTTTTGTTTCATTTTTTTTTCTTAGAAAACAACAACAAAAAAAAATGATAACAAACAAATCCAACAACAACCCCAAACAGTTTTGAGTCTTCCTTTGATTTTAGCAAAGAGAGTTTAAAAAGCACTTAGGAAGCTTGTACTAAAATCAGGCGCTCTCAGAGGAGAGAGTCGTCTGTGCACCCCCCTTCGAGTCCGTAGCGAAACTCCTGCAGGTTGGACACACCGTAGAAGTGGACAAAGGCTGCAGCCACCACGAGCACGTGGAAGATCTGATGGGACTGGAACTGCAGGGAAGCAAGAAAGCCCTTTGATCCGCATGGAAGCAGGCAGAGCAGTGCTGGAACAGCTCCTCCACGCTGCTCCGCCACAACCCTGGGACTGTCCTCAGAACTGCACTGCCTCCCTCCTTGCTCCCTGGCAGCGTTACCTGCACTGTGCTGGGAGGCACCACAGCAGCCCAGCCACATTCTCCCCATCTCAGAGATCCCCACCATCAATTCGCTCTCCTCAGCCTCACAGCTCCCCACGAGGCACCCCATCACCCCTCACACAACACTCACCCAGATGTCGAACTTGCCCGGGAAGAAGCGCTCAGGAATGCGTGCAGCGTACAGCCCTGCACCCGTGATGTACATCACAGCCATGAGGAAGAACCAGCCCATCTGCCCGACGGTGGTGGCCTTCACAAACCCCTCGGCGATGGTGAAGTGCATGGTGGGCACCACACCGCTCAGCCCCAGCCCCAGAAAGACACCTGCAGCAGAGAGGAGAGATCAGCAAGATGGAGCACACGTAAGGAGCGCAGCCCTGCCAGCCCTGCTGCTGGAGGAGTCATTTGTTGAAGCTGCTTCGAGCTCAGGGGGAAGGTGCTCATTAGCAGTGTAGGAAATTTCAGCAGTCAAATTTAATTAGATCAGCAGAGGGCTGACAGCACCACAGCAGGATACCAGTGCAGAGGGCTGCAGTTTGTAGTGGCAGCAGGAGGGTGGCCCTGCAGCAGCAGGCAGGGCTTGGCACTGCCACCACTCACTTCACACTGCAGGAGCAAAGCAGCTCTGTCCCACAGCAGGCAGCTGTGATCTGTGCCAGCACACCCACACCAATGCTGCACAGGTAATGGTGGGGCTGGTGCTCAGCCCTGTTCCCTGCCCCCTTCTTGACACAGCACTGATGTGGGTGCACACACAAAGGAGCCTGCCCTGCAGCCTCCAGGACAGCAGGGACATGGCAGCACAGACCAGGAGGGAATCTGCCCCTCTCTGGATGAGCTGCAGCTCCAGGCTGCCAAACCACTTCCTGGATAATGAGCCTCTGTGTAGCACAGCCTCAGGCCGCCCAGCTACTGCTTATAGAGCTATTTCTAAACACTGCCTGCCTGCTCCAAACCTCAGCCTTGCTCAGTGCCAAGAGGAGCTCAGACCAGCCCTGCTCAGTGGAGGATCCAAATCTCCAGCACAGTGAGAGGAGGGAGGAGGCCTCCCTGCTACAGAGCAGCATGGTGCTCTGGGGCAATGAATGCTGCAGGTGCTGGGAGCTCTTTGCAGTACCCTGGAGCCCTGCTCTAGCGTGGAACCTGCAGCACAACACAGTGACTTCTTCCCAAAGTGCCTCCCCAGCACACTGCATGGCTCCTTCCTGGGGCAGGGGACTCGCAATGAGCACGGAGCACTCCTACCTGCTCTTGTCTGCCGGTGCTTGGGGGTGGCAAACCGGTCCCACTGAGCAACAATGATGGCAGAGATGCCCAAGACGCAGACAATGGAGAGGTAGATGAGTCTTGGCTGCGGGGAGCAGTAGAACGAATAGTAGAGCCAGGGGACGAAGCTCCCCATGATCAGCAGTGCAATTCCTGAATAATCCAACCTGCAGCCAGGGTGCAATGAGAGATACACGCAGGTGAGCCCCAAAGTCTGCCCCCTCCTGCATCCTATTTGGCACTTGGTGCCATGCAGACTGCCTGCACCCAGAGTCACTGTGACCCCACAAGTAAAATTGCATTGGACAACAGATATAAGTCTCATCAGTGCAATGAGAAACAGGAGAAAGGACCGGGGCTTACAAGGATGCAAAAAGAGCTGGCAGAGCGCAGCGAACAGCAGCTTGCTGGATTTGCAGGAGCAGCACAGAGATGCTGTACACTCAAACCACCATGACGAGTGGTGGCCATTAATCCTTGTGCATATGGATTTCATTGTTCTCCCCTGCAAAGTACTTTCATTCTATCGATCCAGGAACAATTTCACCACCAAAACGCAGTCGGCTGCATTTCCCACTGCCACAGCAGCCTTGCAGGAACCCTCCCCAGTACACAAGGACATTCCTGCTCAAGGCGGGCAGCACAGTTTGTTCCAGACACAAGAGCCCCTGGGATCTGGTGTTTGTGCATAGGAGATTGGCAGGATTTCCCAGCAAGCAGCACCCAAGTAAATGCCTTTGATAGACTTCTGTGAGCAAGATCTCATCTGAAAGCCTTGCTGCTGCTCTCCCTGTGCCATAAAGGCTGATGTGAACTTAACTCAAAGAGCAACACTGACCTCAGAGACGAGCACTGGCCACTGCCCAGTGTTTCCACATTGCCAGGAATCCTGTTTGTTTTGCTTTTCAATTTGGTTTCAGTTCAAATTGGATCCAACCCAGAGATTTTCAAAACATCCAGTAAACTGGAAGATCCATGGCTGCCCAGTGAGACCAGGACCATTCCTCACTGTGCTGCTTCAAGAGGCACTGAGGCCATTCTCTTGGGAGATACAGATTCCCACAGGGTCCCAGTCCTCATAGACCCCATTCCCTGAGGGCATCAGAGCTGCTGCCAGATGCAAGGTGCTGAGGTACGGGACCCAAACCCTGCTCCTTCTGAGCCCCGCACTGCATCCAGTGAACACTCCCTTCCCCTAAGAACAAAATCTTAGCGAATGCAGCACTTGGAAAGGAAGTGCTGTGAGAAGTCAGAACATCCTGAGACCACATAACCACACCGGTGCTGACTCACTTTGAAAAAGTCCGTGAGACCTTCTCTGAGTGACAGTAGACAGTGTGGAAAAGCCAGGAGAAGCTGAGGCACAGCACCGCCCCGAGGAAGAACATCCCAAACACAACCTTCTCCTGGAGAGGAGCCATGAAGTACATGTTGGGCCGCAGCATGGTCAGGATTCCCAAGCAGAGGAACAACACAAAACCTGCAGAAAACACAGCGAATGGGCAGTAAGGCAGGGGCACATCCAGCATCGACTGAGGGAGAACAACAGGGACAGGCAGAGCACAGTGACAGCAGCACAGGGAAGGTGATAAGGGACACGGGAGAGAGGCAAGCATGGCTGGCACAGAATCAATGCCTCGGGGTCTCTCCCTTACAAGCATGATGCCTCCTTAGTACAGCAAAGAGCTGGGAGAATCACAAGCATGGCTGTGCTCTGCAAGGCAGAGCCCAGCACACATTGGGTTTCAAGGAAAAGTTTTATGGGACATTGTTTGGCCCAGGACACATTTCTCCACCCCAGGAGCAGAATCAGCTCACCTACAGTGCTCAAGGAGCAATCTGGCTGCAGCACAACCAGCTCCTGAAGACCTGGAGACTCTGAGTCCCCATGCAGAACTCTGCAGAACGTCTTGCCAAGCCCCCCTTGCACTCTGAGCCCACCCAATGGGGCCATCAGCTCTTGAAAAGCATGAACAACACCACTGAGCTCAGGTCTCAGTGCTGCTGCAAGGAGCTGTCCTGTTCTCCCTTCACTCAGAGGCCCAGGAGCTCCAGGAGCTCCCAGCCACCAGCAACAGAGCTGCCTACACATGCAGAACCAGAGGGGTACATGATCCTAAAAGGAAGGCGGTGGGCACAGAGAGGATGCCAAGTAAGTCCCTTGGAGCAAACCTGTCCTTCAGAGGCAGTCCCGTGCCTTAAGCACTGGGGCAGAGCACACCTCCAGCCCTACGAGCCCCGCAGCCCCCCAGTCACCTAGCAAGTGAGTCCAGATGTTGCCCGTCTCAGTGTGTATTCGGAAGATGCTCTTGAAGCAGGCTCGGAAGGATGGCATCGGAGGCCGGTGGCCGTGCAGGAGGTAATCGTTGTCCTTCAGCCAGTCGGGCAGCACATCGTAGGGGATCACACGCCAGCGCCCTTCCCACACCTGCAACACACCGACTCGTGTTGGTGGCCACAGGGACTGGCAGCAGTGAGGCAGCACAAAGGCTCAAGCTGAATGAATCACCCTGGGAGAACACAGAACAAAACCTGCAGGTCTTGCCTACAGCCAGGGCTGAAAAGGCTCTGAAACTCTCCTCTGGGAGAGGAACTTTGGCTTTCACAACACCCTGTGGAATCCCTTACACCACCCACATCCTGCAGAGCACTTCCACATCCCCTAAGGAGCTGGAGACAATTCAGGGCGTTTAACCCTTCAGCACACTGAGCGTCTGCTCCCAGCACTGCAGAACTCCCCTCCATTTTAGTCATGTAAAAGGAAGCACAGAGCTGTGCTGGCTCTCATGCACTTGCCAAACATGGTGACCACAAGCACCGGCGCTGAGCAGAGGCACCCAGCAAAACCAGCAGCAGCATTTGAGCTCTCAGGCCCAGACAGTGACGTTGGCGCTGCCCCTGAAGCCCAACAGGGCTGAGCACAGCCTCCAGCTGCCCTCTGGGATCCCAGGAAGCTCCCACACCTTATACACAAACTCTTCCATCTTCTCCATAGCATGATGAGCCTGCAGAGGCAGAGTCAGCACACGAACCACCTCCTCCTCTTCCTCACGGGCCACTGGGCACGGCGGGTCTTCAGTCTAGAGAGAGAAACACTGGAAGGAGAAACACTGAAGGGAACCAGTCCTGCCCACGGCACTGCACTGGAACCATTCCAGGCACACACACAGCACCTGGGGCTTCATCCCTTCCGAGGGGTCGGACAGAACCCACCGGTCACCACCACTTATGCAACTTGCTCCCGCCTCAACCATCTCAGGCAGGCTAATCCCAGATTGATCCTAGTTTAAAGGTGGGATTACCACGAGGGATTTTCATCCTTACAACCAAAGCTGGAAGAGCCCCCGGGCCCAGCCGGGCTGTCCTGCAGCCGGGTGCCCTTAGGGCACAGCCTGCGCAGGGGCAGCACAACTCGGCTGGCAGCATAAGAGCTAAAACACGTTTTTGGGCCAAGCTCTGAGAGCACGGGACCGATCGCCGTTCGATTATCAGAGAATCACGGGGTCGTTAAGGCTGGGAAGGACCCGCAGCCCCCCTCAGTGCCACGTCTCGGCGCTTCCCAACTCCTCCGTGCAGCCGCGCAACGCATCGCCGCTCTTCGGGCGCAATTCCTCCTAACTCCCAACCCGCCGCACCCCGCGCAAAGCCCCGCGCTCCTCCGACCACCCGCGGGATAACGGGCGAACTTTTGGTTAGCCCCTAAGCACCGGGCCCGCTCGGGACCGACCCCCACTGCCGGGCCGGGCGCCTTACGCTGGCGGTTCCGGCCGCTCCCTGCTCGCCCTTCTCCTCCAGCAGCGGCCCCAGCTCCGCCAGCTCCAGGTGGGCTCTGTCCCGCCCGGCGGCTGCCAGCCCGTTGCCCTGCGCGGCGGCGGCGGCTTTCCGGGACGCCATGGCGGCGGCGGCGGCGTTCCTGGGGGCCCTCCGCGTCCTTGTGCCGCCGCGCTGGGGAGGGAGGAAGAGCAGAGTCAACGGCGCCGGGCCCGGGCGGACACCGGAGCTGAGAGCGGCGGAACCGGGCCGGAACCGCGCCCCGCGTCCGCCCGCAGGCAGCGCCCGCACTCACCGGCCGCTACATCCCGCGCAGGGCGGCGGCGGCGGCACCGGAAGCGACGCTAAGGGAACGGGCCGCTTCCGGCCTCTAAGCCCCGCCCCGGCTGGGGCCTCGTAGCGCTCGCTCTATGATTGGTCGGATCCGCTGCCCGTCTCTCTCCGCCCCGACGGCGCCGCCCGCTGTGATTGGCCGAGCCGCCCAGCTGATGGGAGGCGCTCTAGCGCGGCGGCGCCGTCTCGTTGGCCGCGCTCTCGGCTGCCCCCTGCAGGCGTGGAGGAACCCGGGGGCGGCGATAACCGGGAGCCGCGTGCTGGAGGGGGCGAACCGGGGAGCCGCAGAGCGAAGTGTGAGCGCCGGTGTCCTGGGATGGTGGCAGCGCTGCTCCGTTACCACATCAACACGGCCTGGAGGGAGCCCGCGGGGGGACGGGACTTGTCCGTCTGTCCCTTGTCCCGCTGTCTGTCCATCCCAGCGTGCTGGAACTGCTGGCGGCCGTGTGGCCGAGCTCCAAAAGGCGTCGAGGCGTTCCCTGCCGTGCGTGGGCAACCATAACTCGTGCCCAGGTTGCCCCTGCCCGGTGGCCGCCGGCTCGTCTTTCCGTCCATCGAGGACAGCTTTAATTACCCCCGGAGTCTCCCTGCCGCCGGATCCGGTTCCCATCAATGATTCATGCCCTGCTGTGGGAAGGGGTTCCTCGGGTGCCGGGCTGGGACCGGGGGGATTTTCCGACCTTTCCAGCGTTCAATTGGTGCGGACGGACCTGGTGGTGGTTGGAGGTGCACAGGGCGCCCCGTGGGGTGAGTGATGGGGTTTGGGGGCACAGCGTGGGAAAGCTTTGGGGGGGCAGAGGCAGGCTGTAGGTTTTGGGTGTCTGGGCGTCACCCACTGCAGCCCAATGGGGTCAGGGACCCATCGGGCTCTGGGGAAGGGCAGAATCCCTTCCACGTGTGCATCCCAGCTCCCTGTGGCTGCTGCCCCTTGGACGCAGATGTGTCACATCCCACATCTGATCCAGCAGCACGGGGAGGTGTGCCGGCAGCCAGCTTCCCCTGGCAGTTCTGGTCCCCCCAGCCCTTCTGTGGCAGTATTCTGAGAAGCAGCTCGTCCTCCTGGGGCTGACGGGGGCCGGAGCTGAGCTCTCCCCTCTACAGGGACGAACGCAACTGCCTGCAGAGCCCCGAGGTCCCCATGGGTGTCCTGAGCTGCATGAAGTACCTGATGTTTGTCTTCAACGTGCTGGTGTTTGTGAGTCCCGCTGGGGATGGAGGGGTGCAGGGTGCTGTGCTCAGAGCCGTGAAGCCGAGCGGCGCCATCCGTGCGGAGCTGGGATGTGATGCTCCAAGGGAGGGGACCCCAGCATTGTGCCCTGTGACCGTGCCGTGTCCCACAGGCCGGGGGGATCTGCCTGCTAAGCGTGGGGGTCTGGGTGGCCGTGGACCCGGCTGGTTTCCAGGACATTGTGGCTGCCAAGCCTGTGCTGAGCGTGGGTGCCTACCTGCTGCTGGCCGTGGGCATCGCCCTCTCGCTGCTGGGCTTCCTGGGCTGCTGCGGGGCGCTGCAACGGAGCCGGCCGCTGCTGCTGGTGGTGAGTGAGGGGAAACTGGGATACGGGGAGCTGTGGGATGCAGGATATCCCTAGAGGATCCCCATCCTGGCACCATCAGCCTTCAACACACTCCCCAGTCCAGTCTCCACCTTCTGAGACTTTGAATTTAAAGCCTAGAGCATTCTGTACAGCTATGGGTATGGCTACAGCACTGGGCTGGACTCTTTTCTCTCTCTTTTCTCTCTCTTTTCTCTCTCTTTACTTTCTCTTTTCTCTCTCTTTTCTCTCTCTTTTCCCTCTCTTTTCTCTCTCTTTTCTCTCTCTTTTCTCTCTTTTCTCTCTCTTTTCTTTTTTTTCCCCTCTTTCTGTAGGCTCGTCCCACGTGGCATTTCTGATCCTTTTCCTTCAGTTTTGAGGGCCAGAAACCCTTTTTTGAGCATGGGCACACGACATCTGTGCCCTCCCCAGCCCCTGTTGTGCTCTGCCTTACAGCTGCGGTGCTCAGAGATGCTGTGTCTGTCCCCATGCACCACATGCTCATCTTCTGTCCCACCGTCCCCCTGTCCCTGTGTCCCTGTGCATGGGCAGGGATGGTGGCAGAGGAGGGGAGGAGCTGCACGTGGGCTGAGGATGATTTCTGACCTTTCTGTCCTGCTGCCTTCCAGTTCTTCGTCCTCGTGAGCCTTGTCTTTGTCACACAGCTCGTTGGGGCTGTGCTCTTCCTGGCACACTGGAAGCAGGTAATGTCCCCTCAAGCTGATGGCTCTGGATGGGTGATGGTGGGCGTGCGGTGTCCCTGTCCCCATTCCCGGTTCCTGACCCCAGGTGCTCACAGGTGGCACTGATCCCACAGATCCGGCCAGAGCTCTTCCTGTCAGAGCTGCGAAGGAACTACTGCGGGGATGAAGGTGCTGAGGTCTTCTCTGTGGCTTGGAATACCCTCATGGTGACAGTGAGTGGCCGGGAGGCCCCTGCTGGGGTGTGGAACACACGTGGGTGCTGCTCAGGGTGACTGTGACCATGGGGGTGGTTCTCATGGAGCACAGGACTCGTGCTGGGCCATTCCCCCTTCCTCTGTTGCAACCCCCGAGCGAAGTCCCTGCATTTTGACAGTGCGTTGATGGTGTTTCCCTTCCATTTCAGTTCTCCTGTTGTGGCGTTTTAGGGCCTGAAGATTTTGGGAATGGCTCCCACTTCCAGGAGCTGCACCCTGGGACGCCGTGGCCGCAGGCGTGCTGTGCCCGGGATGGGGTCCTGCAGGCAGGCGAGCTGCTGAGCTGGGAGCAGTGCCAGGAAAGGAACCCTGCCTACATCCATGAGCAGGTAGGGCTACCTGGGCACCTGCTGCCTGGGCACAGCTGTGCTGCGGTTCTGCGCAGCGGTGACTCCCCAAATCTCCAGCTCACGCTGCCCCACCACGGCGCCCCCGACTTGTCCCAACCTCCCTGTCCCTCGGTCTGTCTCTGAGCTCCCTGCAGCCCTGTGAAGCACAAGGAATGCCTCCATTGTCTCCCCTCCTGCCCAGGGCTGCTTCCCCACCTTCAGCAAGACCTTGCAGAAGTACATCTCCGTCCCTGGGATGTGCAGCTTGGCCGTGCTGGGCATCGAGGTACTGAGCAGAGCTGGAGGGGACAGGGCAGGCGGTGGGTCACCTCATTTGGGTGCTCTGTTTGCTGGTAGAGGAAGGAATGGTGCTTTGTGTGTGCTGGGACCACGGATGGGTTTGGGCTGCCCCCCCCCAAGGGCTCTGGTTGTTACACCCCCACAGAGCAGGTCTGTGTCAGGGATGTAAAGCCAACCTGCCAGCCTCCGTGGGCGAGGTGGGTAGAAGGACTGAGCTCTGTTTTGCTCCTGAAGGCCTGGAGAGGAGAAGCACTGCACCTCTATGCATGTTTCCTCTATGCAGCACAGAGCAGCCCCTTGCAGGGCACAGGTCTGGTGTCTGGCTGGACCAGGAGCAGAACACAGAGGTCCTTCAGCCTCATTCTGCACCAAGGTGCTGCTGTGCAGGGAGCTGACCTGTTCCCCCTCTCCTTCTCTTCCAGATCTTCGCCATGTTCTTCGCCTTTTGCCTTTACTACAACTTTGACTGAGCAGGATGCTGGGAGCAGCTCTCCAGGCCACCGGCAGCACAGCAGAGATGAACCAAATGCATTGGGAACAGCAGCAGGCAAGGATGCTCTGTTTTCTTGCATATCTCAGCCCAGCTGTGCAGATCAGTAGCCTTGTTGAGCCCTGTGTCTGCTCCAGTGGGTGGGTGAGGACGAGGAGCAGGGACAGGGCTCAGGTTCAAATCTTTACACACAAATATGAGGACAAGCATCAGATTTGCTCCTGCTGCCAGGAAAATAGCTATGATGACACAGAGCCCTGCCTCAAAAAGCTTCTGAGCTGCTCTATCACCAGGATCAGGATGTCTGCATCCTCCATCCTCCCTCAGCTCTGTTCCACCACCCCTCACTCCCCATCTCCTCTGCATTGTCCCCCTCCACACCTCTGGGCCCTTTTTCTCCTTTCTCAGCCCTTCCCTCTCCTCTGGTCTTTTTCTCTGTCCAGCTCCTGGAGATGCAACCCAGCTGTGTTAAATGGTGCAATCTGCAAGTGGAATGTAAGACTGGCTCTCTGGAAGCCTTACAAGCCTTTGCTTCAGGATATTTTGAAAAGCCCAAACAAACCAGGAAAAAAAAACAGTAAATTAAAGCTTTATATTTTATTTATATAACTTCTCAACAAACAAACGAACCAACAACTAGGAAACAGAAATAATAAAGCCTGCTACCATTACATATTAATTTACTTATACCCATCTAAAGAAAAAAGGACACAGTGAGAGCAAAGCTGGCAGCCACAGCAGGAACAAAAGTCACTTAGGAGTCCAGGCGAGATTTCTTCTCCTTCTTGCTGACAGTGCTCCCTTTTCTTTTTTGTGTGACAGATTCACTGGTGGTTTTTGTTTCATTCTGGTTTGTTTTCTCCTCCAAAGCCTCCAAAGAAATAAAAAGTAACAGCTGTGAATAATTTAGTTTTATGTAATTAGCACTGCTGTGCTAATTCCCATCTCTGTGTGCATAGGAAGCTTTCCCCTTCCTGGAAAGGATGCTGCCCAAATCAGTACGGGGTGGAAAGCACTCAGGTAATGGAGATGGCCCAAATGTAACTGATTCTTTGGAACAGGTTTTGATCTGCTTAAATGCAATTTACTTTCACGCATCTCATCTGTGAAGTCAGATTGTAGAACAGAGGCAGGAAAATACAAAGTGTGGTGGCAGAAAGGTTGCATTCCACCAGCAGCTGGGGAGACCAATCAGCTCCAGAGTTCTTCTCCTGATGTGCAGGAGAACAACGTGCAGGAGAAGCTGAGCACATGAGAGCATGCAGTTTGGAACAGAGCTGAGGATCTCAGGATTCCATCAGCCCTGCTCATCCTACAAACCTCCTGGGAAGCTGCAACTGAATGCCTCATTTCCATGGAGGGAGCAATCATTGTTCCCCCACACCACCTCTCCCCCTCTAAGCTGTGGTCACGGAAGGCAAATTCAGATGAGGAGCATCCACACAGCTGCAAAAGGAAAGCCCATTTCTTACCCTCTTCTGTTGGCTTGCGTACTTCTCAGTCCACTCTTTGGCATTTATCAAGAACAGTTGCTTGTTGTACTTGTACTCCGAGGACTAAACATAATGAGAAAGATTTGACCAAACATTAACACTGAGAAGCTCAGACTGAGCTCTGGGGGTGTATTAACTCCCTTCAGAGTCCTGGCAGAAGGATTCCTGCTGCCAGACCCAAACTGCTATGCACACATCACACAAAGCACACAATTTTGTTGCTCACTTTAGTTTGCTTGAGCAAAGGCACTGCTCCACCCCACCCCCACGACTCCTGAAGCCTTAGAGGAGCCCACATACTATGTCTGCCATGAGGGGGTCATCAGGGTTGGGCTCCGCCATCAGCAGCTGTATGGAGGTCAGCAGCGTGGAGATGTTCAAGGAGGGCCTCCATGCACCCTGCAGGAGGAGAGGGTGAGAGAAGCAGTTGAGAGGAAGACCCTTGAGATGCCTGGAGGAAGCTCAGGGCTCGGAGCACTCAGAGCCCCATGGTTTGCTTTCAGCACACAGGCTGAGGCCTCTCTGAGGGAGCTGATGGAACCCTGGGCTGTGCCTCAGCTGGGGCAGTATTGTGGCGGCCCATTTTCAGAGGGCTGCTTTTCCACCACAATCCTTAAAGCCTTGGAAGCTTATATGGAGCAAAGAAGGTCATGTTCTAATCTCTAAACAAAGGAGAGGCCACACAAAAACTCTACTGCTGCGCTCCTGTGTAAATAAGTCAGTAGCAAACAGACATTCAATCAGGCTTTTACAAGAAAAAGATAAGGAGCTCATTATCCTCCTCAGGCTCACTTACTGCACCCAAGCAGCGCTATCTTACCTTTGGTGGTAACTTAAGAACATCCAGACAAATCCTTCCAGCAGAGTCGATGTTAGGATGATAGATAGGGGTCAGAAATCGAATCTTCGGGGGCTCGAATGGGTACCTTTATGGGATCAGGGTTAAGAAACAAAACATTTGTACCCCAATCGTTTTACCACCCAAGTAATGCCATTAATCCCTCCTCGCAGCAGTTACTGAGTGACATCCTCTCCCTGTAATTCTGGGAGGAAGCAGAGCTTTGCTTCCAGCTGTGCTTGGCCAGCACTTCCCTGCACCTCCCTCAAAGAAGCAAACACAACAGGAAGCTTTGCACTCAGAATATGCTGCTCTCCAGGAAGCTTTGAGACAGCAGAAAACTTGTTACATCACTTGTAGGTTATTCATCTTGGGGATGTCCAGCACGGAGTGCACCATTCAGCCAGCAGAACAACAATTACACGGCATAAGTGAAGGGTCTCACCTAAAGATAACAACATTCTGCACGGGGAGACTGAAGGAAGGACCTCACATCGAATGTATTAATTTGTCCTTTGAGAGGAACACCACACCAGCCCTGCTCATCCTACATCCTACAAACCTCCTGGGACGTTGTTGCTCGCTTACCTTTCAGGAACAATTATCTCCAGGTCAAATATCCCTTTCTCATAGGGTGTCTCCGCAGCTCCTATAATTTCTTTAAAAACAAAACAATATTAGAGCATAAATACATTCCAAATCACAGGAATTCATCCAACCACCTCCACGCACACCCACAGCTCCATAACACTCTATAACAACCCTTAGGGTGGGAGAGGACCTCTGAGGCCCCCAGCACCCAACCCCACTGCACTGCATGCAGCGACCCTCAGCACCAGACGTCCAGGGATGCTGACCCCCACCCCACAGCCCCCCCCCCACCTACGTGCCCGCAGTTCATCCAGCCGTGCTCCGCTCTGCCAACAGCTGACGCCGGGCGGCGGCTCCGTGCTCAGCATTGCGAGCTCCCTGCTCAGCCGTGACGCTCTCTGCATGCTGTGGATCAGCCGCCCTGAACGGACACGGAGGAAAGCTTGGGTTGGGAGGGACCTTAAGGACCCCAACTGCGGGGCACTCAGCGACGTGCCGTCACACCACGCCCAGCCCTGAGGGATGCC